CCCCTTGTTAAAAAAAAAAAAAAAAGTAAGTACAGGCCCTGCCATGATGGCAGAGGTGGCAAGAGTGCTGCTCTGTAATGCTGGGGTCACATGTAAAACCATGATTTGGATCTCAGATAGGTCTGAAACACACCAGGTGTGCATACACACAGCAGTGATCCTGTCTGGCTGAAAGACTGGTGGGGGAAAGGTGGTTTTGTATCTGGAAGCTTCCCTGGATGCACTAAGCATGCGTGTGCCCAGAATTTGAGGCTGGCTGAGGCCGAGGGTGGATCATTGCATGAAAGACCCTTTAGGGAGTGCCTGTCCTCTGTGTCTGTCTTTGTCTCTCTTTCACTCCTGGAAAAAAGAAAGATTTTTTTAAAAAAAAAGTTTGTAGAGCGAATGAGAGTGTTTGTGGACAATTTATTAGGGAAGGTTGGCTGTGAAGAAAGGTGCTTAATAAGTCATTGGAGAGAAATGGGATGTCAAAGGAGAACTAAGTCTTAACATGTTTGGTTTTGTTCTTTAATAATAGGCTATTACTGGGGCCAGCAGGTGGCATGGTGGTTAAGGGTGCTGGACTTCCACACGACTGACCATGTTTCAAGTCCTGGACCTGGCAGCTTGCCTTCTCTCTTACTTTCTCTCTCTCTCTCTCTCTCTTGTTCACTTGCTCTCTCTCTATTTCTCTCTCTAACTCACTCTGTCCCTCTCTGGTCAAAATTAAAATAAAGTTAAATAAAATAATTTCAGAAGAAAATAAAGTTTTTAAAAAATAATAAAATACAACAATAAGATATTACCTAGATGCACTTGAGGGAGAATGAAGAAGTTAAGTCAGCAACAGAAGGAAGGAATAAGCAGTGATAACAAGGTCCTTAACAAAGATGGGGGAGTGCACTTGAGAGAACTGATAATGGATTTCCACAGATGCCAGTGTGTTTAGTTGTATAACTTTAAGTAGAATTAAGAGTTTTTCTACGACAAATTTTATTTTCTAAGAGAACTGTGAATATATGCTCCATGCATTTTAAAGACTTAACTTTTTCTTTTTTACAGTTTACCAATAGAGAGTAGACAAAAGAATATTCACTTAGATGTCTTTTAAGCAGCTTGATGTTCACTTTGCCTGCAAATAACAGACCTCTTCTTGACTCCTAAGTTTAGGAAACACAAGACTTTTTTTTTTCAATTGTAACTATGAGATGGCTTCATAATATATGGTAACTTAATACAGCTGCTTGATTAAATAAAACTTCTGAATGTACTGATTTTTATGTTGAAATATTGATAACTGGCATCTTGTTTTTAAAGCCACTGCATCATAACAAGATTTATTTAATGTTCGGAAATAATTATTTTTGCTAAAAGCCAAGGGCAGATTCTGTTAACACTAATGATTTTAATTAATTCCTTTTTTCACAGAGAGCATTTGACTACTTCAATTTAGCAGCTAATGCTGGTAATTCACATGCCATGGCCTTCTTGGGAAAGGTACTGTATATCTTGTGAACATATTGCATAATAACGAGGTGTTTGCATAGTAAGCACATACTGTATTTGGGATCTACAGTTGACCAAAGATAAATTGGAAATTTCCAGCGCAAGGCATTATATCTCATCTTAAGTGCTACTCTGAGGCATTTTCTTAGGCAACTTAAGCATACCATAACATTTACTCATTCCTGTGTTAATTCTTCATTGAAATTAACTATCATTGTCTGAGCTCCTGCTTTTCATTTGTTATATGTAATAATGAGGAACTTTTTTTGCTGTGCAGTTTCTAAGATTGTTCCAGTTGCCTGTTCCTTTCCATACTAAATTAGTTTGTTGAAATTTAGCTGCAGACCTTTTTCTTTTCTATTTTTTGTTTTGTTTTGTTTTTATATTTTTGCCACAGGGCACACACGTTTGTCGGAAAAGGAGGAGAGTTGAAAAAACATCACCCAAAGGGATGGCCATGCTGCAATCTCTTCTCCATTCTCTTCTTGGGATTTGGGGCGCACACATGCACATGCCCCTAGCTTTTTTAAAATGACTGCGTCCAAGACTCAAATCACATAGTCAGCCATGGTGGATCCGGCTACCTTAATCTCCATGCCACCTGCTTCACCTTCTGAACCCCTGGAAGACTATTTAATGGTACTAAATATGACAGCCATGCCCCACCTCTCAATGCAGCTCCTTTCTCAAGCAAGGAAACATTAAATTCTAGAGACTGAAGCGAGCAGATGGCATGATAGTTAGGGTGCTAGACTCCCACATGGCCAATTGAGGTTTGCATCCCAGACCTAGCAGCTGACTTTCTTGCTTTCTATCTCTCTGTGTCTCTCTCTGGTAAGTGCATGTGCCCTATAGCAAATTAAAAAAGAATAACATAGTCGCCAGCAGGTGGCATGGTGGTTAAGGGCACCGGACTTCCACATGGCCAACCACAGTTCTAATCCTGGACCTGGTGGCTTGCTTTCTCACTTTCCCTCCCTCTCTCTCTCTCTCTGTATGTGTCTCTCTCTGGTCAAAATAAAGATAGTGGAGGCTGCTGTCCATGAAGGAAAGCAGTGTTAGCCATTCTGTTTTCTTTTCTCTTAGCCCTTCATCTTGTCCCGTGCCTGAAAGTTAAATTATTCAGTGTTGAAAATCTTTGAAAATAGGTTTTTAGTAATTTCCTTTCTTGTACTTAAGACTTCCCCCCCTTTATCTTACCCTGGGGGAGCTCAGTGGAGGAGAGAGGAGAGTGCAGTCAGCAGCTCTCCTTTTCCTTGTGCAGTCACCCATCTGGCCCACGTAACTTAGCCAGCTGACTGATCTGGAATAGAGTGAGAAAAGATACTTGTCTAAGGTTAAAGCCTTCTTCTCTCCAGACTGATCTGTGAGCCAGTTGTATGTATTCATGTTTACAGATAAGTCATAAATTTGATATGTCACAGAATATATAGTAATGTCCAAATGTTAGCCTTTGAGGGTTTGCTTTTAGTTCTGCAGGGGAAAGTTGTAAACTTTGTGGAAAGATTTCATAAGGTCTAACAAAAACCAGAATGAGTGGGATAGGAAGAGAGTGTAACTGGAAGAGAGTGTAACTGGAGCTACCCGCTCATTGGAACTGGGCTCTGTTTTTCAGATGTACTCAGAGGGAAGTGACACTGTGCCTCAGAGTAATGAGACCGCCCTCCACTACTTTAAGAAAGCTGCTGACATGGTAAGACTTCATGACTCAGTTTATTGGAATGTGCCAAATTACTAACATTTCAATAAATGTATTATATGGAAGGATTAATAACTAACTGATGCCATAAATTATTAAAAGTACTTAAAAGACTTGTGGATATATTGAGTAGACAGAAACTCCCCAGTAAAAGCAATTTTAAGAACCAGATTGTTGAATATTAACTCTCTGTTTAAATTTCCTTGAGAAATTTCCTAACAGGGAAGTATTGATTTTAGTAAAATAATTACATAATCTTACCCTATTTGTATTGCAACTAGAAGTTTAAAATTTTACATAATTGGGTTCTTCTGATAAGCATAATACATAATTTAGCCTTTCTTTGGCCCAGAGAAAACCACGTATGAGCATGTAAAACTCCATATGCCATCAGTGTGTTCACTTAACCTCTTTGCCAACCACTCTGTTTCTGTACGTCACTTGCCAAAGAAGCTTTGTGACACTTACTCTTTTGATTTTTTTTTTTAAATTGTGTGAGAGAGAACCTACCCAATAGAGCACGATCATACACCAGTCACTCCCCCATTTCTCCCTCTTGTTGGGATTTTTGGCATGGGCACGTATACACCCCCAGTGTGTTTCTCAAGCTGTGAGGGCCACGACTCAAACCACAGTCAGACAGGTGGGATCTGGCTCCTTAACCACTAGGCTGTGGGGCCAGCCTGGTGCTTTTTTACAAAATGTTTTCTATCTTCCTAAGTTTAGAAGGATCATAGGTTTTTCTTTTTGTTCTCAAAACAGTGATTATATTTGGTCCATGTCACTCCATCACTTTTAAGTACATCTTGGCCACCTGACAGTAGCATTGCTCTTGTTGTGTCATTGTTGACTCTACCCCATGACATCTTCCTTCTTTATCGAGGGTGAAGGCTACCAGTCAAAACTGCAAAATGAAGAATGTGACATGCATTTAATTTTGATGAAATACAAGAGCCATGTTTTGTGTCAGAGATCCACGGCACAGTAGATGGTAATAAGTTACCAAAGGGCACCAAAATCCAATCCTGAGCTTACTGTGTACCCATTAACACGAAGTTACTGAGAGCCACAGATTTCTGTCCGATCATGTTATGTTTAGTCTGATGGAAAGGAGAAAGTTGTTTTTAAATCGAAAAGTATAAAAACATGTATTTGAATATGCTTGTAAATATTTTTGTTAATGTACTTATTCTTCCCTCTTTTTAATCTTTTTTACTCTCTTGTCTGATTTCCCTGGTTTTCAGGGCAACCCCGTTGGACAGAGCGGACTCGGAATGGCCTACCTTTATGGGCGAGGAGTTCAAGTGGTAAGTGTCAGTCTGACATTCTCACTTGGGTTGGCAGTCAGCTGGTGAAGTGTGGGAGTATTCCTTAACTAGCTTCCAGTCTGCCCAGGTGAGGCCATTCCCTCCTAACCAGAGCAGACCCTTTTCCTGTCCTGAATCTGCCTCAGTACTGCTTTGCACCTCCTAGCTCAACCATTGTCTTAGGATAGCTCGTCTCTCGGCCTCCTCCTGAAGGCATGCAGCTGTGTCTCACTGTCATCTATGTCCCCCACCCCTCCTCGTCCATGTCTCCGACTGCACTTGCACATCTCCTTGCCTGTTTCTTTACTCCTAAGATACTGCTCAAGTCTCTCCCATCCCAGAGGGTAAAGCTTTCTGTTCCATCCTCTGCCCCTTCTAGCACCCACCTCTGTCTTCTCTAGCTCTTCACCACAAAGCCCAGTTTCTGCAAACAGTGAGCTTTACTGAGCTTTGACCGTTCATTCTTTCATTCTTAGCAGTTAGGATTCTGCACGGGGTAACTACTCTCTGTAAAGGTCTCCAGTAGCAACCTCTCTGCCCTGGGGTTCTGTGACTGCCATCCCTCTTGATTTTCTTTGGACATTACATCTCATTCTTCTGTGTGGCCTCCTTATATTGAATTTGAATTGCTTTTTCCTTCTCTGCATGATCTCTCTAGGCGATATGTTCTTTTAATTTGAATCTAATACTAACAGCTAGGGATAAGAGTCTAATCTGTAGGTATTCCTGAATACAAAGGACAGTAATGTGATCTGATTTTGATTCCTCCTAGTCATTTTAGGATACTTAAATTCAGTAGTAATCTTTATTTTAACTTCTCTCTGTGGATGCAGTGACCTCTGAAATTTAATAATAGAGTGTTTAATAAGGTAAACAGGGAAGGAATGAATAAGGATAATTTTCCTTTCTAAATATAAGAATAGTTGAGATTTAAAAAGGATTAGTTGGGGTCTAGCAGCACTGTCACAGATGGCAGGGTGTCACTATACAATGCTGGAGTCACACAGGGGACCTGGATTCATAGTCCAGGCTGTTCTGAACACCCTGGGCATGCCCATGTGCACCTGTGGTCCTGACCAGCTGAGAGGGTGGGGGAAGATTGCAGTATGGCAAGACCCTATTATAGTTATCTGCTCTTTTCTCTCTCCCTCCCTCCATTTTTTGCGCTCTCCCACCCTCTTTCATGAGGGAAATAAATAAACTTAAGAAAGGTTAGTTGGTTAGTAGAAATAATTGTTTCTTTTTTTGTTAAGAATTATCTATTTAGGGACCAGCAGTTAGCGTAATGGCTATGTCGCCGGACTCCCACGTAGTCGACCACGGTTCATGTCCCAGACCCGGTGGCTTAAAACTCATGCTGGGCGCGTGTGCGTGCGTGCCCAAGATCCCGAGAGGAGAATGGAGGAGAAGGGATTGTGGCATAGCCTCCCTCGCTGGAGGGTGATTTCTCACTTTCTGTCTCTCTGTCTGTCTCTGTCTGTCTGGCGAGTACACGCGCCATATAGCAAAAAAACCTCTCCAAAAAAAAAAATCTAAGAATTATCTATTTAATGTTGTTATTATTTTTAATTTGACCAGAGAGAAAAGAGAACCAGAAAGTGAGAAAGCAAGCCACCAGGTCTGGGACTTGAACCACTGTTGGCCATAAGTGGGAGTCCAGCACCTTGACCACCATGCCACCTGTGGCCTGAAATGATTGTTTCTTAATTCCCAATCTGATGTTTTACCGTTAATAGTATTTATGCTCTCTGAGGCAATCATAAAAACTCTTATTTGCTTTTCTTCACAGTCTCAAATATTAACCCCCTCAGTGACTAAAAGTATGTTAGTATCTATGTATTCTGGTTTTTTTTTTTTTTGGAGAGTTTTTTTGTTTGTTTGTTTTGTTTTGTTACAAGGCGTGTGCGCACACCAGAGAGACAGAGAGAGACAGAGAGATAGAAAGCAAGAAATCACCCCCGAAGGGGGATGGCCACGCCGCAATCCTTTCTCCTCCATTGTCCTCTCAGGGTCCTCTTGGGCACATACACACATGCGCTCGGTGTGAGTTTAAGCCACCAGGTCCAGGACTTGAACCGTGGTCGACTACGTGGGAGTTCAGCAACATAGTCATTATACCAACTGCTGGTCCCAGTATCTGTGTATTCTAAACATTAGAAAGTGGTCCTTTTAATGGCTCTTGTAGAATATTATATGTGCACTTTGGTCATTTTGTTTATTTTTTTGTTTTTTTGCCATAGGGCATGTGCACTCACAAAAGAGAGATAGTGAGAAGTCATCCCTCAGGGGGGATGGCCATGCCACAGTCCCTTCTCCATTCTTCTCTCAGGATTTTGGGCAAGCATGGACACACACCTTGCATGATTTTCAAGTCACTGGGTCTGGAACTCAAATTTCACTTGGCCATTTGGGAATGCACATCGTAACTACTATACCACCTGCTGGCCCTGTTCACTTGTTTGAAGAATAAATCTCTTCCTTCTGAGTGTATCATCAGCCTCTTGAATTTTTTCATCCTATGACTTCTTTTTCTGCAGAATTACGATCTGGCACTGAAATATTTTCAGAAAGCTGCTGAACAAGGTTGGGTGGATGGGCAACTACAGCTTGGTTCCATGTACTATAGTAAGTAACATTGGGATGAATGATGGGCACGCCCAGGTCTAAATTGACCTATTTTCCTCTAAGTGGCACTAAGATATGAAGGTGGGAGCTATCCAGTGCTGGATGATCAATATTCTCCCAATTCAGTGATTTGTACATCTTGTTTTTCATTGTAAATTATTCTGATTTGTATTGATCAGATTCATATTTTGAATAAGGATTCTGACTTTTAGATTTTTACTCATATAAGATTTCTCTAATGTTTACGTCTTACATAAGGTTATTACTGATCTGTCATGTGCTTTGTTTTTGCATAGATGGCATTGGAGTCAAGAGAGATTATAAACAAGCCTTGAAGTATTTTAATTTGGCTTCTCAGGGAGGCCACATCTTGGCTTTCTATAACCTAGCACAGATGCATGCCAGTGGCACAGGTGTGATGCGGTCATGTCACACTGCAGTGGAGGTGAGACCTTTTCTCCCAGCTTGCATAGAAGAAATGAATTGTCCAGTAGGAGATCTGGTTTGGTTCTGGTTTTCTTCACATGATTTCTTCTGCAGTCGAAATAGACTCAGCCTACTAGCATTGATACACCGAGGGAAGACTCTTAGGGCCTGTCTCTAACTATTGCACTTTTAAATTCAGTTCATCTCTTCTCTTGGAATCAACGGTTATAAGGGCGGATATTGGTGTCTGTAGTAGTTCCAGCATCTAGGCCAGTAATGGATACATAGCATCAGAAAAATATATGTAAAGTGAGTCTTTCAAAGGGAAATGCTACTATCTACTAATGGGGAATTTTATTGTTTAATTCCCTCATAGCTAGTACTTTATAGTGACATTGATAAATGCTTAACAGAATTTCTAAATCTCTCTGTGTCCTAGTTTTCTCACTTTTAAAATATTGGGTTGTCAGAAAACTCACAGCACTTTCTTGCATAGAAAAACATAAAAATACATCATGACTTTTCTGACAACCCAGTAGTACTTACCTCACAGGGTGGTCTCTTCTGAACCTTTTTGGAGAATGTGTTTATATTCATAATATATGTAAATAATTAGGACAGGGCCTTGTCAGAATAAGTCGTGTGTTGTTTGCTAATAATTTTCTTTGTCTATTGACTTCTGAGGAGTGAAAGCAAGCTGCCAGAGATTTGAGAGAGCAAGCTTAGCAATCGCTTGTAGCCAAAGTTTAAAGTTATTTTCTGGTGTATCTTTCTTATTTTCTATTGTTTTTTCCCCTCTCCTCACAGTTGTTTAAGAATGTGTGCGAACGAGGCCGTTGGTCTGAAAGGCTGATGACTGCATATCACAGCTATAAAGACGGGGACTACAACGCTGCGGTGATCCAGTACCTCCTCCTGGCCGAGCAAGGCTATGAGGTGGCACAAAGCAACGCAGCCTTCATTCTCGATCAGAGTAAGGTGCACCTTAGCCCCGCCTGAGCTTTAGAATGCAAGAGTTCAGCTTAACCTATTTAAACAGAAAAGCCGCTGGGGCCGGCAGGTGGCTTGGTAGTTAAAGGCTTTAGATTCCGACATGGCCGACCACCGTTCAAGTCCCAGACCTAGCAGCTTGCTTTCTCCCTTTTCCTTTCTCACTCTCTCTGATCAGATTAAAAAATAATAACAAATGGAATTACATAATTTTAAAAAAGAAAAGAAAAGTCACAAAGCGTGTTCTGTTGTAAATGGATCTTAACACAGTTAGTTTGGACCTAACAAAGTTAGTTTTATAACGACAGTTCATAGTAGAAATGGATTTAACATTTGTTTTAAAATTAACCACTTTTGGGTCAGTTGGTGGTGTGGTGGTTAAGGCAGCTGGATCCCACATGGCCAACTGCATGGCTTGTATCCGAGACCCCAGGTCCCCAGATACAGAAAATTACTAGTGACTTAAAAAACACAGGTGTTCACCATCCCAAAATCCCAAGAGGAAAAGGGATTACAGTGTAGCCATTCCCCCTTCCCCTCGTGCCTTCTCACTTTCTCCTTCATTCTCTCTCTCTCTCTCTGGTGAGCACGTGTGCCCTAGAGCAAAATTTTTAAATGAACTGCTTTTAATAAGTGTATTTTTCAAAATACAGTGGTTAGAGAAACACCCTTTTTCTAACACTACAGATTTTTAGAGTAGTTCAGTCATTAGTGTCTTTATTTTTAAAAAAAAATTTTTTTTTTTGGAGAGATTTTCACTGTAGGGCACGTGCGCTTGCCAGACAGACAGAGAGAGACATAGAGACAGAAAGCGAGAAATCACCCCCCAGGGGGGATGGTCATGCCGCAATCCCTTCTCCTCCATTCTCCTCTCGGGATCTTGGGCACGCACGCACACACGCCCGGCGTGAGTTTTAAGCCACCGGGTCCGGGACACGAACCGCGGTCGACTACATGGGAGTCCAGCGACATAGCCATTACACTAACTGCTGGTTCCCATTAGTGTCTTTATTGATGCCGTGGCTGAAACATGTTTCAGGAAGTAGTGTCATCAGAATCCAGTGATTGCTTTGAATTCACTATTTTGTTTTAATGCTTGTTTATTTCAATTCTTGCTTAATATTTTTATATTCCAGTTCATTAACATATGCTCCACATATCCACCCCAGTTTGCAAGTGAAGCCTGAAAGCCTTTCCTTAAGTACCTGATTTGTGTTTTCTTTTCTTGTAGGAGAAGCAACTATTGTAGGTGAAAATGAAACTTATCCCAGAGCTTTGCTACATTGGAACAGGGCTGCATCTCAGGGTGAGTTTTTAATCCTAGGATAAGAGTTACTGTGTATATGTATTTTTAATCTCTCATGAATATTAAATCATTCACCTTAAAATTAAGTAGATATACTTAATTAAAGAGAGATTGCTTAACTTGTTTGCATCATGATTATTATACATTACAACTATGGTTCAAATACCAGAGTTTTTACATTGAATTTCAAAACTCTCTGTACTAGACAAAAAAAAAAAAAAAAAAAACTCTCTGTACTAGACAGTTCCATGTTGGTATGGGTCATTTTTTTATTTCTAGTTTGAGGCCACTGTAGTGTGTTGTGTTTAGAAATGCCAGACCTTGGTTGGAAAAGTTGACTGCTGCTGGGTGCCAAACAGAAGGAAGTCATATTTTATTTTACTTAGTTTAGTTTAGATTTTTAGGTTTTTTGGTATAGGGTGCCCACACTCACTGTAGAAAGACAGAGAGAGAGAGAGAAATCACCCCCTACGAGGGGGGGCCACACCCCAATCCCTCCTTTTT